GGGACCATGTAAATCCATTCATTACACTACAGGCCACCAATGGACTTTGACTCTTGACATCGAGTACAAGTGACACACGCCATGTATCTTTATTGTTGTTGACCCACACTTGGCAATTTACAAAATAGGTCTCCTAGAATAAGATGACTTACTAGTGGATGCTTGCAACAGGAGACTAACAGTGAAGAAAGCTCCAGGAGAACGAGTGACAAAGCTAGCTTCGTTCATTGAATCTGATGCAGTTTCCGCCATTATCGAACTAAGGGCCCTAGGGAATCTTAGCGGAATTCCTAACTCCAGGCCGGTCAACGCTAAAACTCCTAAGGTTGGTCCAAAAATTAGTACTACCACAAGAACGCATGAGCCCCCAGTTTTCGTTAAACCCAGATGCTTAGCTTCAGAAGAACCAAAAATATAGAAATCTGAATTAGAATACTTGCCTCATTTTGGGATTGTCCGGCCCCCAAATAGTCCCTGGGCTTCGCCGTCACACATGGTATCTGAGAAAAATCAGACTGATTGAGGCCATTGTGGTGGTTGAAGAGCCCCAAATCAGCAAGCCATCTCTTACAGCACTCTACATTCAAGACGTAACTTACAGTCCTCACGGCGCCACAGCGTCACTAAAACAGATTTATCTCATGCTTTATCACAACATTCAGGTGGGTGGGGAAGATATGCCTAAAACAGCCATTGCCTCCCCATTCGGGCTACATTAGCTTGTGCAGATACCATTTGGTCTTTGGAATGCCGTACAAGTTTTCCAAAGACTTGTGGACTACCTGCTAACTCTTTAACCAGTCGTACATGAACTGGTGACCAGGCTGTTTGTAGTACAGCCCCAACTATTCATGGAAGTATATGATAATCATGGCGGTTCCGGTATGTGTTGATCAAGGGTGGCAGAAAAGATGTTTGGAGGTTCGCAATCACATAACAGCGCAGCAGCCTCATCCCTGTCTCTTGGAAATGGAATGCACACATAGTGTCAGCACAGATAAACTAATCGTTCGTTGGGTGCTAAATGGCTGACAATCAATTGAATTGATGCATTTCTTCGATTCCCTGTGGTAATTTCTGCTTCTTACCCAAGTGCTGGTTGAATAGTGCCTCTCAAATCAAAGAAACACACAGGAAGGTATATAAGAGTTAGTTTTGGAGTTACGGATCTGAAAGGCAACGAAGATCCAGGGTTTCCGTAACTAGTCAATCTTTCCGGTCTATTCATTCGAGATTAAATCCTGTTCCTGCTGCTCGTTTTTTGCTTCACGCTACCTAATAGATACTGCGGTCATTATAACTTTGTTTCTGAAAAAGATGAGGGATCGATGTGTCGTATGTTAATCAAATTTATCATTTTAAAAGAAACGCCTACAACCACTGGCCAGTATTATTACTACGCATCACTTAAATATTCTTGTGTATACACATTGTGCCCTCTCAGTTCTGTTAATTTAACTTGGACTGCCGTCCAGGAGTGTATTTTCAACTGCACAGTAGTTGGGGGGAAATATAATGATTGTATAACACACGTGATAGACAGACTACATCTGCGAACACCGTGAATTTCCAAGTTTGTGCGACTGCCTATCATGTAATAGTCTAAGAAAATAAAAAATCCACTCTACCTTCTTCATGGTAGAATGTACTATCTTCACAGTTATTTAGCATGAATTTAAGTGCTTGGAAACTGTGGAGAAACACACTCTTCTATGCCAGTCTATATAGGTGCAACCTCTCCTTGCTGATATCATGCAGCGGTATTCTGTAGACAACTGACGGTTTCCTTCTGCACTAATATCTTTGTGTCGTGGGAAAAGTTTTGGCAACAGGCGAAAAGTCTGAACAGGGATATAAAGGCCCCGGATATGTCTAACAACTGATTCGGATTCGTGACCGTTTGCAGCCCGTGTATTTCCCCTTCTGACAAACGGCTGTGGATAACAGTGTTCTTCCGCTGGTAGTGAACTTACCCTGTTATTCCTCAGAAACTTTGGTCCATAAAGCCGCCCGTTAATCTTAATACTCCACGTGAAGTATGATATGCAAATTCATGTCTTCCATCATCATGTTTCCACTGTTTTGGTGCGGACAGTTCGGATATGTCTACAAGACTGTTGCTTATAATCCTCTCAAACCCTTTCACTGTGCTTCTTATATGTGTGAATAGTGACTCCAGTCAAAAGACTCTGGATGTTTTTCAGTCTTAACATACAATACAGGGGTCCCTAATTCCAGTTTAGTAATGGCAGAGGATTTCAGTGGTACATCTAACTACATAGCTGATATCAAGTGACAGAAAAGAAAACGTGATAACTAAGGGTTTTTCAGAGGTATAAAGAACTACTTTCGAACTTTTGTCCTCTCTTCTCACCTTTAGAAGAATATCGCTGGCAGAAAATGCAAGAATTTAACGTTTACCCAGGTTATACACTGATCCCCTTAAAATCGCATACACAACTAAATTCGTTTACTTCTTTACATTCTCTCCTGTCTTACTCTCCTGACTACTCCAACTACTACACTTACACTTATTATTATTACTGATCTTATATACATACATATTTATATGTATATATATTCCGACTTCAGATTTAACTGGCTGTCTGTTTTTACACTTTCTTTATTTCTTCTTTTGTCTTTTAGTATGAATAACCTACACTAATTGTGTCTTTGTTACTACTATCTCTTTTCTTTTGACGACGATACTGGAGGACTAACTGGTGAAAGGATTAAATCCATTCACAGTAGTAGCAAAGTCTTAGCACACCGCATACTATAAACAATATATAATTACTCCCAGCACTACTCCTTTTGGAGTCAACCAAAGCTGCGACAGTCGACTGGCGGGACGAACTGCGCAGAAATTTACCGAAGACCAGGAACCTTTACCTCATAATCAAGAAGCCAGCACAAAGAAATCAAATTGGTTTACACTAGCTCGTAAAAATTATATTGGATATTGGATCAGAACGTCGGAGCTGTAATTTAGCTGAGTCAGTAATATTGAATATTCAACACTCAAATCCGTCACATTTTCTGATGGTGGGCTACCTTTGTAAAATGACTGTTGAGTTGTTATGATTGCTTTTCTGTCAGTCCTCCGTAATTCGAGTCTTGAAAAATATTTTTCACTTATTAAAAGAAGGATTTCTCCTTATATTATTAATAAAGTTGTGAGAAATCCTTCGTCAGAGAATTCTCTGACGTTATAGCACTTCTGCATTTGTCATATCCTCAGGATATTTTATGAACCTACCCAACTACATGTAGTCATATATCATAAGTTTATATCACAACTCGATCGGTAAACTACTTTGCGTAGCATACTTAAGTGTCTGTGTTGCCTGTGAATTTTGTCATTCATTAATGAGCAGCAAAGACTATAGGAATTGATCTCTCATGATGTGAAGCCGTTCAACAAAAGTTTTTAAGGCTCTTATGAATCTGAATTGCTGATATTTAGAAGCTAGGTGATGCGTGTAACTGAAGTTGGAATTTAACAATGTGCGGGCGGGTGGAATGGTTTTTGTATTGACATAGCTTCTTATGGAGTAATAGTCATGGGGAGGGGGACCCGTGGTTTAGTTGGGTAGGGATATTACAAATATGTTTCATTCATGTAAGTGGCAAACTGATATATCAGTTTATATAAGCAAAGGAAGTTAAGTGGAGTGGAAGTTGAACACAGAAGAGGAAAATAGCATGGAAGAATAACAGAAGTATCAAGTGACAAAAAATTTACTCCTAACAAAAAATAACGGCTGTATATGTGATACTATAATGAGATGCTAATCGCGTCTTGTCTCTTATTTACAACCGAAAATAAAATCGTCTGAATAGTCAAAATTCTGAATATATCTTCGAATATCTTACTGTTCTTGGGATTGTTTCGTAGAAACTCTGCATTAATTCATGTGCAAACCTCATAATACAACGTTGGAAACGTACACTTACTGGTTTCCGCCTATTTTCATACTAGATGTTTTAGCTCTTGCTTGTTTTAATGTAAGTTGTACTAACATTTTTAACCTGAAACTTAGCATCGTCATCATTAGATTACTAGGGTAGTGTCATCGTGGCTGTAAAGGCAGCCAGATGGACAGGTCAAAATAGGCGTTTGCTCAGCAGTTCGTTATTTCAGGCTGCTACGTTATCAGAAGGAACAAAATGAAAAAAAGCGCGGGTAAAAGAGGAAGTGACGACTACCTGGAGGATAGTGAAAGTGGCTCTAGTGCGATATTATATCCTCACTAATGTCGCCAGTTTCGCATCGTGTGACCGAGAATCTCCAGACATCTTAACGACTCGAGGAGTCTAAGTAGACAGCTGACACCTCCAAACGTGACACATCAACTACCGGAATATGTGCAAGTTATTGTTTTATTATGACTGTTTTCATTTCGCTCACTTAGAAAGCGTTGTTTGTCTGGGAAGTTGGTGGCTTGGTATACCACCTAGGTGAATGAAAAGTAGTCGCCTCACTATGTAGTTGGAAATTAATGTGTTTCTTAGACTAATGTAGGGTTAAGCGGTTTATTCCCGATTGTTGCGATGTACTGTTGACAGATTTGTTTGGTTGAGGTGCTGGCAATTAATTTTTGGTGTTTTATTTTCATCTGCTTTGTCCAATATAGTTGAGCGAACTGTAGTTCCATGTTCAAAGTACTTCAGTCAGGAGTGGTAGTAATGTGGTATCGTCATTCATTAAAATATGCTTGACTCACTGCCTAGTGCATGAAAGCGAACCTTGTTATCACTTTCCTTGAATGTGCACATAAAACTAGACGAAGCTAGAGTGTGTAAGCAGATATGTTAACCGAACTATTTTAGTTACACTTACCAAGATTGCGGAGTTCCAAGAATGACGATATGCGCATCCTATATTTCAGTGCTAACCACCGTCAATCAAATTGATACCTAGTCTTTCGTGTCTTTCTCGCTTGCTGGATTTTTTCACAGTGATTTCACTTTGAATTGAGACATTCAACACAGTTTCATCATCGTTGTCTAATTTATGTGCGTTAACCGTGATGATGGATTTTATTATTTCCTTCGGCTACTAATAATTTTAAGTGGTAAGTTTAAGTACTACTTGTGTGGTAGGTAACCAGTTAGTGTTTTTGGAGAAAATATGATGCTAAATTTCGCATGTTCATACATTTTTTAAATCTCCCTGGTTTTCAGACAGCTCAAAGCTGGCATCAAGATGCAGCTCTCTTGGCTCGCCTCATTAAAGAGCATAAAGGAGATATCGTCATATATACCGGTGCTGGAATCAGCACATCTGCTAGTATTCCTGATTACAGGGGAACGAATGGTTTATGGACTATGCAAACTAGTCGAGTGACCAATAATAATTCAGGTATTTCACTGTAGTTTTCATTATATTGTTCTAGTTCTTGATTTCAAAAGAAGTGATGAAGCAGGATGTGATCAGATAACCAAAAGACAGGTATAATGCAGGATTCCTGACCGCTCATCTTTGTGGTAGGGTAAAATATCCAATGGTAAACCATCCCTTAAGTCCTCAAAGTCAAGAAAATCTACCCCGCTAAAACTGAGACTTCCAGAAGCTACAACTGCAAAACCAACATTCACTCATATGGCTATCAAAGTTCTTGTGGATGAAGGATATGTACGTAACAGAGATTTTATATATATACTAATATCATTTCATAAACCTACTTTGAAGTATTTCTGTGGGCTGATTTAAGTCTTCCTTGGTAGAAAGTGGTATCTTCTCGCGTTATAAAAGTTAATTCACACAAACTTAGGAAGTGAATTGTTTAGTAATACATCGACTCTAGAGAGATGCGTAAACTAACCGCTGTCATTTGCTTTCTTTCTTGCAAAGCCAGTCACTCGGATGGTGTGGCGTATACTAGACTTTTTGGAAAAGCCACGGTAGAAATTAACTGTTCTCCAACTAGAGATGTTGTATAAATAGATAATTCAATAATCTCTTTAATATACTTTGACTTACCTATATTTGGTCCATTTGGGTGTCCATAGAAGTAATCTTACAGGCATAACACTATTCAGGTAAGCCTTTGAAGAAAATACTTATATGTACCAATAACCTATTTTCATATTTGCTTTATGTGATATTGATTTTAGTAATTACTTTAACTAACAAGGCCATTCGTTTTGTGCACAATCTTAGGTTCGACATGTAGTTTCTCAAAATGTTGATGGTTTACATATGCGAAGTGGTTTAAAACGTGAGAAACTGTCAGAACTGCATGGCAATTTATTTATTGAAGTAAGTGCGTTTAAGATACCAGTTTTATATTGACACACACATTACTTAAAATTGCCCTTTTCCTCAATAAATCTTCAGAGGATAGTCTAAAAGTGGATCCGAATCATTGACTTGTTATACACTATAGATAAAACTGCGACCAGTCATTATAACCTAGTTGGCTGCATATCGATGAAACGTACTGGTAGCTTTAATCTTTGACATACATATTAATCTAATTTTCTATGTGTTAGGCAAATAAAAAGTAGGGTGATTGAATACTAAAATGCTTTCACCTTATTATTTATGTATAAAGTCTTGTATCATGTTAAAGAACTCGTTTTTATACTTTGATTATTATTATTATTCCCTTAGGTTCCGAGTAGAACAGAGGACTCCAACAGCGCATCTCCATTTCGTCTTGTCCTCTGCAGTCCTCTTTAGCTGGCTCCACTACTGATCGCGAGCTGTCGTCTCCTCCTAACACGATCTCTTGCATATCACCCTCGGACGCCTGACTAGTCGTCTCCTATTCGGGTTCCGCTTGAGGCCTTGTCTGGTGAGTGCTGTCACTCAACGGTCTCGTCTGATTCACCCCTATTTTTTCGACATCTGTTGGACAGCATGTTCTTGGTTGGTTTATTCCCAGAGTTCCTTGTTGTTAATCCTTCCTGGCTGTCTTCCATCTGTTCTCACGGATTCCTAGCACTTTTATAACGTATCTCCTAATTTCTTTGGTAAACTAGTAAATTAAGTGAGGTTATGATTATAGTATTCGTACTACTCAAGTACATACTGCAATTTTTTATATAAGAAGATATGATGCACACCCCATGTGTATGTAGGCTTATAATTTACTGTTTCACCCCACGGTTGAGGTTAGCAGAGTTTCACTTATTATGAGAGTTTGTTGTATTTAATGAATATCAGTCAAACACATAATTAACAGATGTATAATTTTCTTTCTGCTAAAGATTTTTAGGGTTTGCTGTGCAACAAATCTGAATATTGCCTAATTAGTTAAAGGACACAAAGGTGTAAAATAAACTTGTTGTTTATCGTGGTCATTGTATGACGTGGTGTGTTGAAATGAAGGGTAGTTACGTTATTTTACCGTCAGTTAGCATGTTTTAATTCCCTGGGTGAAGTTTGAGAAACTATACAACTTATCGGTTGGAGACGTCATCATATGTGGCTCAGAATCTAAATAGAGGAGTGGGCATTTTAAACTTAAAGTTTGTCAAATTGACGCAAATTATACGTCCTATTATACGTGTACTATTCTTTTCATACATCACATCTACCTTGGGAAAGCACTTATCATGGCTTATTATTTAAAAGCTTTTTGCAAGCATAATAAAGCAAAAGCCTTTCCTGTCGTAACCAGTGTTATTCCTTTCTTTTTCAGCAATGTATCGCTTGTTCACACAGTGTCTTCCGAAGCTTTGATGTCGCTGAGACTACTTCCCGTTCACACCACTTTACTGGACGTATATGTCCTCGCTGCCGCAGTTTACACCCTTTCGAGAGTTCAATCGCCAGTAATGTACTACGACAAACAGCCGAACAGTTTGCAACGTCAAAGTACAAAACAAATGTATCTATTGAAAACTTAATGTTAAGTTATCGACATGCTGCAAGAAAGTTAGCCAAATCATTTGAAAGTATACGTCGTAAAGCGATGCAGCAACATTTAAATAGTACACAAAATTCATCTGTTGTAAGTAATTCCGAAATTCTCACAAATGCACCTTTGTTAAGAGATGTTGTTGTACATTTTTTTGAACGCCAACCGGAAATGGGACTAGCGGAAATTTATCGTATTCAATCAGCTATAGAAGCTGTACATGGTCGTAAATCACTGAAAGATGCTGTAACATCGACTTCAAAAGACTGTAAACTGTTGAATCGTGGTTGCAAACGTCCCAATGATGAGTCAATAAAATATCTTATAGGATCTCCATGGTTTAAAAGAATGCGTCCTGCAATGAAGACAGAATGTGAAGGTGTTTCTAAATCCACAGGTACAGATGATACACCGTCCCTGTCCTCTGATCCGTTGGAAACACCCGCTAAATTGATAATTGTCATTGGTTCATCTCTGACTGTTTTACGAAATTATTCATTTTTGTGGCCTTATGGTCTTGGTCGATGCGATCAGAAGGGATTGTGTAAGAAACTTCAAAAGAAACCAGCACCTTCCGATCAAGAAGCAGAATCGACTCCAATTGCGAATGCTATTGAAAATTGTCGCCTAGTTATTATTAATTTACAGCCTACCTGTAAAGATGGAGTCGCTGACTTAGTTCTTCGTGTTCCTTGTGATGAATTATTTCGTGCTGTTATGTTAGACCACTTGGAAATAGATGTTCCTCAATATGATTCCAAAACTGACCCTCTCTATTCTATCGCTGTATCTCTATCTCCCGAAGAGGAATGTACCCGTACTCGTCCAGACATTTCTTTTAATTCCATATGATGTCTCATTTTTAAAACAAAGAAGTTTTATTTTGATATATCTCACACACACACACACACACAATGTGCTCACAAGATTTCGGTGGATTTGATTGTACATTTCTAAAACCCTCTTTATAATTTGCAGTTTATACTTCATTTAATGCGAAGCGGCGTTCAACATCTCTGTAAATGATGAATTGCATTTATAATAATAGTAGTTTTTCTTTTCTAGTAAAACTTCACTGTGTTATGCTGGGGTGTATTTTTTGTTGATCGAATACTTAATTCATATGTAAACAACAAAATAAGCATTTCAGGGAAGAGGCTCTTTTTGGTGAATTCATTTTCTCCAGCTGTCCGACCGCATTTATATGCAAATCCTCAGGAAACATGGCAGTAAGAAAGTGATGAATTGTAATAATCACAGTTTTTTATATTAGTCAATGCACAAGAGGAGGAGGAGTTGAATAAGTGCATCATAGTTACGTAATACGGTGAGCAACTTAATGAATTATAATTAGAATGAACATAGAAACGAAGGCAAATCTGAGGTTATGTAAGAAATACAAGAGTTAGAAGGAGTTAAAAAAGAGTAAAACCAAGTTAGTAGAAAACAACGCGATTGTTACCATGATAATAGAAGTCGTTGAATTGTTTTCTTTTACATTCAGAGCCCCACTTTTTGTCTGAATAGCTAGAGCTTCAGTAATGCAAAGGAGACGGCAGATGGTTCACTTTATAGATTTCTTTGACGGAAGAGTTTGTCGAGGTAGAATGATCAGTGTCAACAAGGTATTCACAGCTATCTGACTCCTTATAGAGCCAACGCTGCCTTTCTGCGATATCGCAGGATAGTATTCTTGAACCGTTTTAAGTGGGATACACATCTAACGACCAATATACCTGGCACCACACACCAGGTGAGCTGCTATATGCACATAGAAGTGGTAAGGGTTCCGCAGACCAGTGGACAACTGGAGAGCACTACGCTTAGAGTCGCAGCGAAAAATGTTTTCAAAGATGATGTAATTCTTCACTTAAGGATATAGCAGTTGAAGTTTCTCTTGAAATCAATGCCCATGTAAAGTTTCTTTCTTAGTACAAGTAACGTTTCGTTTCTCTGGACTTTTGGTTTGATAATTTCTACAATGAATCTCGATGCGTATCCATTTTGGATGAAGATTTCTTTCCGAAGGTCTAGTACCACTTCTATGGCATAAGGGCTACAGATGCGTTGAATGTGAGCGGCAAGAGGTGTGATTAAATTTCGTTTCCCTTTCAACAGCCGCCCGACTGTGGGAACTTGTCAGTTGACTGTTCCATGTAGGTTTCCTGTGGATTGCCGTTCTTGCGGTTCTGTCGGTTCTTGTTAGTTCCACTTCAAGGGAGAGAATTTTGGATTCGTTTCCCATTTGAAGCGTGAAATTCATTTCTGTATGGCAGTTTTTGAGGTCGTGACTATCGTCGCAAAAGATTCATATGTGATAACTTCCGTAATGTTTAGCGTCTCTATATTACTGTACCTCATCACCTGTTGTAGAAAATTCAATATAATTATTTCTGTATAATAACAGTGACGATAAAGCTTTATTTCAGACAATATGCGAAGACATAGTACAGAAATTTGCAGCAGCTCAAAATATTTCGTCTTCGTATAGGATTTATATGTAAAGTAATAATCTGAAGTATTTCATGTGATATAGTTTTGTTGCATATGGATAAAGAACCAATTTGGTACACTTTTCTTCATCCCCTCAGCGTTTGTTTGAAAGCTAATTAAATACGTGCATGAGTTCATGTAGTGGTAGTCTGATACAATCGCATGATTAATACAGTAAGAAATGCAGAAGAGTTTAAGCATTTTTGGTGTATGGAAACTTTGGCATCCTAGGGATTTAAGTAGGCCGCCATTGGAAAAACAATAAAATAATGTAAGCGTTTCATCGGAATACTTACTCATATATGTATGACAGTGGACTAAGTGTGTAATTTCCGACTTCTGAGTCCCGGGTTTCATTTGTAGGGGGAGGTCAGGTAGCATCAATAGTCCTCACGCAATAGATGTGGCTTATAGCCGGCTGCATGGAAATGCAAGCAGCTCTCTTGAGTAAAATTTGTTTTCCACTAGTACAATACAAGTAAAACACTTGATGAAGTCCCACCTAATGTTATTTTAAGAACTATTTCAGCCAGTTAATGCAATTATAATGTGAAAATTAGATCGGCTTAACACACGTTTTTAGTTGTTTTAGTGAACTGAGTATCAGAATGATGTGTTTTCTGTCTCCCCTGAGCTCTATTCATAAGTTGTGTATTGGAAATATTTTCTCATGTAGCTGATGATAACGTTTTTTAAGTAGAGTTTTAACTTGTATAGTGGGTAGTACGAAAAGATATTTTTGAGAAAGACAGAGATATACACAAATTTTAAGGACTCTGATCACATTTTGTAAGTTGATTCTCTGTTTTATGTAGGCTTATAAATTTCTTCTGTATAAGCTGTGCTGTTTACAGCGCATCTGCAACTACTAGGTAAGTGAATGACTTGAGGAAACCACTGTGTATTTCAAGAGTCTCTTTCACATATATATCCATAATATTCAATATCATTAGTACATTAGGCAATCGACAAAGGCCATGTTTACAATGGTTTGTTATCGCGTTTATAAAGAAGAGACAAGTAAATAATTGGGTTAAATTAGCGAATAAAAACCGGCAGCATTTAAAATTATTTATTCCATTCCTACTGGTCTTAATTTCGCTTTACGAATTCGTCTTTTACATATATAGCTGAAGCGATAGGAATTTACCTGAAGAAACCAAATCTGTGTGTTTGGAAGAAATTCGTACAGCCACTTTCCTTACCTTGGCCATGGTTACATGAATGTATAAACCAGACTACTTCACCCTCCCCCTAAACCTTTTAAAATTATAATTGTCCAAATTATTTTTCTGACTACTTCATCTTGAATCACGTGTTATCATTGTCCAAATTGTTTTGTTTTTCTTTAACAAGCTGTTGCGTAATCGAATTGAGCACTCACTTATATCTTACTTCCTCTTCATTTTTCCAACATTATGCAGTCTAATTGCTGTAACCATTCCTACCTTTTAATTATATAAAAATATATATTAGAGTAGAACCAGGACTGAGGATCTAATTGAAAAGTAAATTTTTCTTCGCTCAATCCTTTTGCTTTCTAAATGTATAAATGGGGATTTTTTCTATAAGAGAGGTTTCGCGTGCACTTCGGATTGTGAGGGCGATTGTTACTTCCCGGCTGCCCACACCGTGGAAGTTGGTTGCGTGACCGCAGAGCCCAGGGGACAACTGCTTGAGGCCGGTCACACACGGCCTGTTTTTGTTTGTTGTTTTTCATTTAGTGTGTCTCAGTAGCGTATTTATCACTTCTGCCCTGTGACACGGCAGCAGAAAGCGCGGTCGTTGTTAATCCGGGCCCCGACCGATCCGCCATGATATTTTGTGATTTATTTCAAGTCATAGGATTGGATTGGATAACTGCTTTTAGTCTAACCGCTATCCAAACAACCTTTCTGGCATGGTAGGACCTGCAGGAACATAAGTTCCAGCCAGTATAGCTTGTTGGGTCATTGCGGTGTTCAAGCCCGACCACCACGTCAAGGTAGCAGCTTTCGGTCGGGGATTTTTCTATAAAAAAAACGTTTTCCCACCTAGATTCATAGACAGGAATTTGAAACCAAAGAAAACGCCTGAAAAGATCTTAGTCACTCCCAAAAAGATGCTGATACTTAACCTCAAATTTAAAAGTGATACCGAGGTAGAACTTCTCCGTAGACGGATTTCGAAGTCTCTCAGTAAAGCATACTTCGTCATCAGCCTACGAGCAACACTGTCCTGCAAGAAGCTATTCAACTAGCAAGTGAAAGATAAGCTGTCGTGTTGAGCCACACCAACATGCATATACCAGCTCACTTGTCTGTGTGAAGGCGAGTACACTGGCTGTACCATGCGTCCATTTGTAAAACGCGCTCGGCAATACTATCCAGCGTGGATAGCAAAGGGAGAACGCAAGAGTGTATGCAGTTCGGTAACAGAACATCTGGTGAATTCAGGATATCCAGCTCCATTTGGAAAGTCTTTCAAAGTCACATACTGGATCCTATCAAAGGGAGAGAAACCAAGGCATCTAGAAATAACGGAGGCACTAGAGATCCAAAATCTCAAGCCCACGCTATGTGTTCGAGAGAAATACGTCCAACCGTTGTCGTCACAAAAAGTCAGTGCCACCAATAATAATGATTATCCAATTACCAATCTTATCCAACCTTACTGTTTATTTCTGTTATTTTTACGTTTTCGATTCCTATCTGCATTACTACATTTGTTCATTTTGTGTTTTATATATTTAAACTTCCTACCTAATTGTACAAGCAATCAAGTTTTTCAGCAATTATGATCTTATTATGTCTTTTCTACCCTATCTTCCTGATTATTTCACTTTTTAATTTTATTAATTTAACCTTTGACGGGAAATAATACTGGAACTTTCTCACACATTTACTAATAAATAAACGAATGTACAGTCTAGTGGATGACTTTGTCTTTAAGGAAGTTTTCTTCTCTGCAACCGTCTTTTTTATTTAATTCCTGTGATCCAGTGTGTATATTCTGTGACTCAATTTTCATGTGGATGACACGTTTATCATGTGTGATGATAATTAAGATTTGAAAAACGGCCTAAGACTACTGACTGGTTATATAGCTGGTACCCAATTCAAGTTATAAAGATGAATAGATAGGAATATCTCCTTACTTTGCTACACAGAATAGTACCTCATCGGTGGTCAAGATGATAAATCGAACTTTTCGCCCACTTTTCTGTATTCATTCGTAATCGATTTCTGATTCATAGTCATCTAAACTAATATTAACTTCCTTCAGTATTTCCATTCACTGCTGAATTTCAACACACGTACACTTCAAAATACTTGTTACTGTCTATTGTAATCCATATATAAATGCAATTGAACAGATATGAAAGTGGAATTGTCTGAAAGGGAATTTTCCCTACTGGAATCTTTGTTTCATGGTGTAAATTCCTTAGTACGACAACTCATCAAGACAGACCTCAATCAGTTTGGAAATCTCCTGCACTCAGCATGAAGAATGAGATTAGGACTTTCAACACTTAAGTCAAATCATTGCTTCTATATGGTTTTGAGACTTGGAGCGTCATCAAGAACATTTCTAACAGACTGCCGCGGATGTTCGTCTACAACTGCTCCAGGCCCATACTAGGGTTCAGATGGCCAGCCATAAGGGATTCTGAACAAAGAACTTTGGGAATGAAATCACCGGCAGCCTACTATCTAACAGCCATGCTGAAGAAAATGGATATGGATCGGATGCGCGCTCAGGAGTCCGTTGAGTGACATCGCGCACAAGGCCCTCGAGTGGGTCACGGATAGGAAACGACCAGCTGGTCTTAGGTCTGTGGATGATATTGAAGAGATGAAAGCTTATGCGCAATCGTAGAGTTAGCTGAAGAGGATTTCAGGGAACAGGGTGAAATGGAGATGTGCTGGCGAAGTCCTGTGTTCCACTTGGAAACCAAGAAAATAATGATAATGATGAAATTCCTCAAAACAATACATCCTCTACATTGTTGATGATTTGTCCTACTGCATTATCACAATGTCGTATTTCATTTCCTTTATCAGTAATATTCAACTTCGTATATCCGATATAGATATGTGGGTTTCAAACGCAGAAGTGGTTCGACATCACTTTTGTCTAGAAGTGCCATTTTTACTACCTTGTGCATGAGTTGTATCAACTTAATTTTCCACCCATTTAGTAGAATGTTAAAAGATTGGTGTAGGTTGTTTAAATTATTACATTATATAACAGAACTAGCAAAGATAAAGTTAACATCCAGTTAAATATTGAACATTTATTGTCAGTATTACACCAGTCCTTGGAACAGGTTGCAATGCATCCATGGTATAAATCATCGTCTAGTTGAAATTGTCCACAATGAGTAGGTATATCAGACAGCTTATCCATTGAACACTTTCGTATCAACAGACTAAAACCATCCTTTTGACGAATACCTTTGATTTTTGAACAGTGATGGGCGTAGAAAAGCCCGTCATGTCCAGGTATAATCTGACGACATGGTATCTGAACTTGAACATTAGCACTGACAGGATCTTCACAGGCTGGATTACTTCCGTTAACGGATACACAAGAATAACAGGCGATTGCGTTGGCTGCAAAATATTTTATGGACATTAGATAAAAGGCTGTACATTTAACTGTCTATGTAATGAATGCAATATGATGTATAAAGCTATGAATCGCATTAAATCTAAAAGTACCACACTAACCATAATAACTTTGCATATTTTCCAATAGTTATCCTTTGCATTTTGATTGGACACTAGTAACTTGTGTGAAGTATCTAGTCCTTCTTTGGTGCAGACTGAATTCTATCAGTCAGGTATTTGCAATGTGGCCATCATTCTAGGTAGCTCGCCATCACGGTGCACATTGATCTGATATTAGATAGTTGGAGGCAATCGGCCACAGGAAGCCTTGGACCTAGGTTTCATGCTAGTTGGCACTCACCAGTCAGCAAGGTGTATCTCCAACCTTGAAGGAACTCATTTCCCTTCTGAGATTCAAAACCGCGTCAGCCAGTGCTGCAGTCAGAGACGTTACCACTGAGCTATTCGGGCTTGCGATTGACCTCCTGTAGGACTGTAGTGGGTAGTTTGATTGGACACTAGTAACTGGTGTAATGAATCTAGTCCTTTGATTTCTACAGACTGAATTCTATCAGTCAGGTATTTGCAATGTGGCCATCATTCTAGGTAGCTCGCCACCACGGTGCTTTGTTCTATTGGAATTCCATTCAGGTCGTTTCAAGGTGATGTAAATATCATACATGTGATGAAGTTTCTGATCCGACCAAGGTGTTATGGCAAAGCTTAAACACGGATTTCAGGAGTAAATAATAATAATAAAATGAGATTCAAGCATACTAAGATATCACTGTCGGGCTGTTTTCGACCTGAATAAATAATAACTGACAATCTTTGCACGGTGCGTCGGTGGCACAGCGGTTAGGACGCTCGCCGACCAGGCACATGGTACGGGGTTCGATCCCCGACCACCGACGCTCTCCTTTACCTTGCTAAGCCAGAAATAAAGCTGGTAAAGAGGAAAGGTTGGCCATGAGGCTAGCAACCCCATCCTGTAAAAATAAACACTGCTACAGAAACTTCAAAACTCTAGCTTGAAGCTCCCTATGTTCCACTGGGAACGTGAAGGAATACAAAAAAAGCCTTTGCACAAGACGTAGTCCTCATGGATAACGGCTTGGCGTCTGAAACGATGGGTACAAGTTTCAGTAGGAGCATTATCGCTCAGTGCGGATATCAGGTCCTGAATAGGAAAAAACGTACATCTTGGATCCCACTGCTAGTCACAGTCCACCAAATAATATACTTAAGCCTGAAATAATGTTAGATAGTGTTTAACTAATTACAACATAAATTTAACCAATGTCAGGTGCTAAACAATCTTGACAAGTATGTCAACTTATAGTAAACTACTCATCCTGTGGAATGTACTAAGCTAGTTGTAAACACTCAATAAGATCATGAGAAAGTAATCCAATGGGCACAATTGGTACCACAACAATTTTCACCTCAAAATATCAAGACTTATTAGAATTCTGATAGAATTAGGTCTCTTAAGTAAAGTGTAAGTTTGTCAAAGATTTCTCAAGTGTTGGATTCCAAGGATTTGATTGGTTATAGGTTTATTCACGAGCTGACATCATTTAGAAAACCACTGGATAGCCGGATACTAATGGACAGTTGTTTTGTCCCTGTTAGGGACTCTTCATCAGTATGCACCCACCGGGACTCGAAATCAGGACTCTCCGGTTGCAAAGTGAGCTCGTAGATCACTCAGTCAGTGGGTCCCGATCCAATGATTCCTACCAATTCATGATATATACATCAAAACCATAAGCGACTGACATCGGCGAGTAACTGTTCTCCTGGCTGACTTAGTGGACCCCGCTGGTTGTTTCATGAAAACAGACCACTAAAAAAATACACAAATATCTCAACTCACCTATATTCACCTTATATAAGAAGTAGAATATAGCCCATGTTAGTAAGTTATATAACGTAGTGGGAAGGATTTTATGCATACTGATGAACAGCATATTTTTACATCTGTTTAATAATATCCCATTTCGATATATATATTGAATCTGAACAGTTATTTCCTTTGCTTAACGTTTCGTAATACACTTATTTTCTGTCCTTAAATAATAATATCCTACAAACTGTTATCTCCCCTGACAAATGATGTCAGTCTAACATTCATTTTTACTGCCTTATTGGTTATCCAATGACTTCCTGTAGGATAACGTTGTCTTTTGAATATTTGCCTGATTGGTTATTTCTTTTTTTGCCTGGAAGTATAAATGTATGTGAATGAATAGATATTATAAAATGACAAACATCAATATGCTGTTGCAGTCATTGATTTTTACCCGGAAAAGAAAATTGTATATATTTTTAATTATGTAGATGGCAGGTGCATTTCTGAGAAAAAAAATATCCCACTGGATTAACTATATATTTATACCTGGAGTTCTAGTGTTTGGAATTTTTCCTGTAAAGCCTTGTAGAAACAAGGGCGTCACCCTCTGGAATTAACAGTGTCGATGCAGAAATCAAATAATGAATGCTCATGTGTTGCAGATCAAGGTGGCAAAATGCTGTTATTAGAATTCAGTCTATTGATTTTTAAGCAAAGTATTTGTCATGGTGATTGAGAGTATTTAAGCTTTATCTTCTGTTCTGCATTAGATAAGTTTATTCGATAAAGTATACAATGATAGAGTATAGATAATTGGATGTAATTTCGAGCACAATTTATTGCTCATAAACAATATCCATGTATCGACACAGCTTCATAATTAGGATAACATTTAAATCAATCAACTCACTCGGGGACAAACTTTGTTGACTCAAGGACTCGATAGATCCATTTTTCAGAAAAATAATATTTAACTTACCAGATGCTGTGTAATGACTATGAAGTTGGGGTCAGTTAGTTCCATATTAGTTTGTTTATTAGATGTATCACACAGTGAAACAGTATTTATTTACTGGATGACATTTCGAACAAAATTTATTGTTCATAATCATATCACCAATTATAATCACACGACTTCGAAACTTGAGTTTTATAGTTTTCTTTGTTCTCTCCTATTTGTCGTCGTTGGAGTGGTAGAATTTTCCAGATATTTTGGGCAGGTGCTGAATCATTCCTATTTGCAGTTGATTCGATAAACAAAGCTTCTGTTATCAATCTCTGCCTCCACCAGGGGAAAATATACAAACAAACTGAGGGAGTTGCCATGGGGTCACCAATATCCCCGATTGTGGCAGATATATTCATGGATAGGTGGGAAAACATAGTGATTGAAACGTTCAGACAACACCAACAATAAGGAATCTAAATCATCAGTAGTAATTCCATACAAGGAAGGAACCGTGGAAACCTTAGGGAGAATTCTTGAGATGGCAGGAATAAAAGTGACTGGCATTCAAACCCACAAACTCAAATAGAAACATGCTTTGTCGGTTAAAGGATCAATCCTGTGGAGCCTTTAAAACAAAACAATTTAGTTTATCTAATACCCTGCTGGAATGATTGTGAGGTCAAATACATAGGTCAAAGTAGTAGAACAGGGGCAGTCAGACTAGCCGAACATAAAAACCTAGCAAAATGTAGATTAGTTGACCCGAATAAGATAAGAAATCTAGAAAATAGTTCAGCTATAACATTGAACACACGCAATTACACACAACCATACACTAGGATGGGATAAGATGACAGTTTTAAAATCTAATGTAATAGGGTGGAGGAAGAGACTGATAACAGAAGCTTTGTTTATCGAATCAACTACAAATACGTGTAATAGGAATGATTCACCACCTGTCCACTCGAACATGTGGAAAATTCTACTACCCCAACAATGACAAATAGGAGAGAACAAAGAAAACTATAAAACCCAAATTTCGAAGTCGTGTGATTATAATTGGTGAAATGATTATGAACAATAAATTTTGTTCGAAACAATGTTATCCAGTAAATAATGCTGTTACACTCACTGTGTTACATCTATTAAACAAACTAATATGGAATTACTTACTACCACAGTGCCCAAGTTTTACACATATATTAATGGGGTCAGTTAGATTGTTGGAACGTAGAAATTTAGCTACAGCTAGAATGACTGACCCTGCTAAGCTAAATAATCTAGAGGAAAGCTCGGCTAATATTATGCATTCACTTGCATGTAATCACACAACAGGGTGGGATACGATGAACTTTTTAAAGAAGAACATAGAGGTTAATCACTAAAATTTTGTTCATTGAATCAAGACTAAACACGTACAATCTAAATGACACTGGCGATATGGAACATGGAAAAGTACAAATAGGTGGGAAGAGGAAAAATTTACGTTAAAAGCAAATTATGAAGCCTTGTGAATAAATTGATATGATTATGAGCAATAAATTATGCTCGAACCATCATCTGGTTGTTACTATTGTATCAATGTGTATTATATCAAGTAAACTTATTGAACATTACTTAAAAGATATTATCACTAGAAGTTTGCATTTTCTAAAGCCATGAAGAGAATCTTTTTTCCTTTTTCACTCGTTAGGAAATACAAATTTCGAATTATTATTATATTATTGTTTCCTTTAATTTCTAGAGGAAAATAAGGCTTCAGCCACACGTTTCCATTGCGTTCGGTTCTCTGCCAACCTTTTCACCTGGCTCCATGTCTGCCCACATGCTTTCATCTCCTCTTCGCATCACCTCCTCCATGTCATCCTCGCACTGACGATCAACTCGCCGCTTGCCGTTCGGGTTCCACTCAAGCAATGGCCTGGCTTGTGATATCCACCTCCATTTGTTCCTGCATATTTGTTGCACCGTCGGTTCCTGATGGGTTGGTTTGCTCACTACCAGAGATCCCTCCCTGTTGCTGATCTTTTCTGGCCGGCCATCTGATCTTGAGTGGTACTGAGCGAAGACGGCTGTTGATGAAGGTGTGTAGTTTGTCTGAAGTGTCCTTCGTGACGCGGCGCTAAATATCTGGTCCGTATAGTAGCACTGGCTACACATTGGAGTTGAAAATCCGGATCTTATTTTTGATGCTGAGTGCTGTTGATCTCCACACAGACTTGAGAGAAATGAAAGCTTGCCTTGCTTTCTCTATCCTCGTTATGACATCCTCATCAATTCCGTCCACCTATGGTTGAAACGATGCTTCCCAGGTAGGTGGGTAACGGAGGTTGCTTCATTCAGATCCCACCCCTTTTCTGACGATTGTTGTCTGTTGTTGTTGCTGTTGCTGTTGGCCAGGAATCTCCATCACTTCTGTTTTCTATATGTTCACTTGAAGGCCTGTCTTTGATGCTTCTTCTATCGCCAACTTGTTGCTTTTCACTTGCATATCTTGCACTTTGTGGGAAATCATACATATACCATCGGCGAAGTCTAGATCCTGCAGGTATTTTGTGTGGATCCATTTAGCGCCTGTCTCCTCTTTGCTCGCTGCTGTCTGTCACACTATCCACTCTATCGCATTCAGAAAAATCATTGGAGGTAGTAGGCAGCCAGTCAGCTAGCTTGTCTTACTCCCGTCTTCACTTCGAAGGATTCCGTGAATTTCTCGTTGTAGATTACTTGTTATCCAGCGTTGTCGTACAACTGTTGGATGAGATGTATAATTGTTGGCGGCACCTCGTAGTAGCGAAGTAGTTTCCAAATCACCTCTCCATCGACACTGTCGAAGGCTTTTTCAAAGTCAATGAAGTTGAGAAAGAGAGCTGACTGCCATTTCAAGCTCTGTTCAATGATGATGCGTAGTGTTGCGATTTGATCAATGTATGACCTTTTCCTCCTGAATCCAGTCTGTTCCGGTCGAAGTTTTTCACCCAGGGCGTGTTTGGTTCTCTCCAGGATGATGTGGTCCAGTATTTTGTTTGGGATGGACGGAAGCATAACACCACACCAGTTTTTGCATTGACTTAAGTTTCCTCTCATTGGCAGTTTGAATAAGTAGCCTTTCTTCCAGTCCGCAGGTACTTTGCTCTCTTTCCACACCTTCTTCAGTAGTGGTGTCATCATGTCCGCTGACTTAAAAATCTGTTTGAATCTGACATTCATTAATCACTATATTAACTTCGCTTAATTGATTTGATAAGACTGAGGGTGAGCAAACTCTGCTCCCCACCTTTTCGAAAATCTCTCATGTGGCCATATCTTTTCGACCTCCTGAACGTAAGTTGAACTTAATAGCTCTACATGGTAACGAGGGTTCGCGATACATTCATTTGATGAAAGTATTCATTTGTTAATGAACCTTGCAAACATCAAAATGCTTGCGCGAGAATCAATGCTTCCTTTTATTACTAAAATTGCGTGCTAGAAGAAAATCTCTGTTCACAATTTGTAGTCAAAGAATATTTCAGTTTAGACTTCGTTACAAACCAATATCAGTTGAAGAGATCACTGAAAATCATCAGGGCTCACTAGACAGCAGTCTCATCCTTGTTCGGGACTCTTCATCAGTGCGTATTAACGACGCCAACACAGGTCGAACCCGAGGCCTTTAGGTTACGAATCCAAACTGGTTGACTATTTGTTTTAGAATTCATTGACGCGTTACTTCGTTATATAATGCTAGTCTTAATAAGTGACTTCAATGAGCATCGACTTCACCTTGATACGGTGAAACCCACTGGTCATGACGTCCCACTACAGCTTCAAGGAATCTATCCAGTAGTTATTAGTGAGCTGGAGACTACTATTATTATTCCCTTGGGTTCCTAGTGGAACATAGGGATTCAACTGCACGTCTCCCCTTGCTTCTGTCTTCTGCTGTACTTTTCACTTGCATCCGTGTTAGTCCATAATGTTTCAACTCCTCTTCACACAATCTCCTCCATGTCACCCTTGCACCGGCGTCCCACTCGCCGCTTCCCTTTCGGGTTCCACTCGAGCGTTGGCCTGACGCGCGATGTCACCTAGCGGCCTCCTCCTCGGCGAGTGTCCAATCCATCTCCACTTTCTCCTGCATATTCGTTGAGCGATTGGTTCTTGTTTTGTTTGTTCACATAGTTTGTTTCTTGTTGGTGATTCTTTCCGGCCATCTGATCTTCAGTATAGAGAGTAGAGAGCTGCTGATAAAGGTCTGCAA